GACCTGGCAGATATATAAAATGTGTGTGTGTGTGTGTGTGTGTGTATGGCGTGTGTGCGCACTTGTTTTTGTTACTTTGTGAGGACCAATATTGAACACGTACATTGTGAGGACCAACTGCGCTTTGTGGGGACCAAATACAAAGTCCCCGTAAAGATAGCAAGGCAAACCTATGTGTGTGTGTTAAAATGTTTAGTTAAGGTCAGTGGTCAACTTGAGTCGGATCAAGATCTGGGAACTCCCTCAGTTTCACCATGTGTGTTCCGGCAACTGTTCGTTCGGATCCGGCAGCTCATATCTCCACCCATAAAAGTCCAAAGTCCTTGCACATTTTTATTATTTATTAAAAATACAACAACAGGAGACGTTGTCCATATCTGTGGAGTGAATGTTACTGCTGCAGCAGGCGCACCAGCTCATGCACACTCTTGGCAGCAGAGACGCTGACCACATGTCCCGCGGGGATGAAGTGTCTTCATTCACCTTCAGCTGTGTCTCAGAAACCAAAGCAGCACAAACAAACATTTTAACGGCACAAACCAGCACAAACGTAGCACTAACCACTCATTGTATTTACTAGAATTTTTGATGTGGTTGGGGTGTCAGCTTCACCTCACTCAGCTGTGCACCCTGCAAACCGTGCATGTTTTATGCACAGGAGCATCTACAGACAGCTATACAGAGCACACACACAACTGCTAATGAGTCAGAACTCCTGCATACATTTCAAAGATAATATACAGTAAAAAAATAAGAGTGAAATGTTTGATGTGTATTATTCGCATCACGTTTCAAAATTAGTCAAAATAACAGCGATCAAAATGTGGAAAAGACACTCCAATTTATTATCTAAAATAAATGGATTGATTGTCCTTAGCTGGACAACAGAGAACTGAAGCGCCTAAAGTCAGACATAATAGAGACTAGAGCAGAACAACGCACAGGACTGAATTCAGCTGAGAAGAGTTTGGGTTGGACATTGAAGTTTGTGTGTGGGGGGGGGAGGGGGGCTTAACAGAATGGGAACTGCTCTATTCACTGTTCTCTAAAATAGTAATTTCAATTCAACCTTTATTTATACAAGTTAGTCTCATTGAGCCTCGGGGACTCATTTACAAGAGAGACCTGTTTTTTAAATCAGTTTAATGAAATCTTTACAGATGTTTAACAACATGTTAAAATACACCAAAATGTAGGAAATTGCATCTCTTTTATTCCAAATTTTCTGGGGGAGGACCCACGGAACCCCCGCACCGCACCACCCTCTGCCGGACCGCCTGCTATTTGTGTTCCAGCATCAGTTGTTTTACAAATTAAGCCCTGGCCAAGGTAAAACATGATAAACATGTTTCTTTCCATATGGACAGTCTCTTCACCAGCATTGCCACTTTTTTTTTTTTTTTTAAGAATTGTACGATTCCTTTTTATAAAATTCCAATGAAACATAGCTTAGACTTGTGGCATAAATAATTATCCGTTAGCAGCTTTATTGGCAACCATTTTGGTAGACAATTATTGTAGTGCATGTGTTGTGTAGATTTAATATTGTGCATTTAGCTGACATTAAAAAAGTGTTTTAAGTACCAATTGTTTAAGCAAAATGTTCCAAATTTGCATTGACTTAAAATTCATTTTCTCACTAATGAATTTCCCAATAAACAGTAAGAAAATGTTGACATATACACAAGTAGTATTGTGCACCTACAATGTACTGAGTCAGTCTTTACCTCTGTAACAACAGGAACATATCTTGGAAGTATCATCCATCTTTTACTTTCCTCTTCAGCTTGATAAAGGAGCTGGTGGTCAGACAGCAAGGAATTTTTATCCACTCCCCCAATCTAAACAGCACTTAAACTTTGACTCAGTTCTGGCGACAGCCAGAGAGCCATCTAGGGTAAAACATCTTCCATCTTTTGTTCTTCCTCTTCTGCTTCTCACATCTCTTCAACTGATCTGTTTATTGGTACAAGGAGTGTAAATTATGCATCAAGTATACACAGGGCTGACTCTCGCAGACGCATCATGGAGCAACAGGTTGCTTTATTCTCTCTGCACTTTATAAATTGTGCTCCGTGTGAAACATGGTTTCTCTTTTGCTCTTTATATAAGAACAATATTTTGATTATACAGTACATTTAGCTAAAATCAGGTGGTTTCCATTAAAATGTGTAATTTCCAGTAATGTACTGCTTGTGGGCTTCTTTTTTTTTTTTAGGAAATAATGCCAGTTTTACTTTTTCCCCAAGATGGGGAATCACCTGCACAAATGAAGCTAGGTTTTAGATTGTTTCCCTGCTTTGTGGATTTCTCTCTCACTGCCATTGTTCCCCCACTTTGTTTATAATAATCCCTTATGATCGGGGTCTTTGTATTAGCCTATTTACAACAATCATAATCTGACTGTAAACATGCTGGGACTCAATGAGGAAGTTGTGCTCTGCTGGTGGACAGAATCCCATGACCACACAATGTGCCTGTACGTACAAACTAAACATTAAGCCACTCACAATAAACCATGTGCTGTTATGAGAGCCTATAGCGCCTTTTGTCAGGATAAAGGAACCACAAATGAGCTATTGTCTGCCTTAACCATTCTAAGTCAGGCAAGCCCTCAGGGGCATGTTTTCCACACAGAGCCCAAGAATGTCTCCTTTTTGTGTACGAGTGTGTGTGTATGACATTGATGGTGACTGAGGTTTGGGCATTGAGCCCTACGTGGTCCTAACACCATCTGTGGTGCGTATGCTGGCATAAAAACCAGTTTGCGCACAAACCCAGCAGTTTAAGAAGTTTCTAAAACTGCTCTGCATGCAGAAAGCTCTCGTCACCTTCCTGAAAAAGACGGGAGAAATTTAGTTTATGCTTGAGTGACCATTTATTAAAATTACAGTTCTGGTAGATGTGATGTTTGCGTATTATCATCATTATTATTATCATCATCATTATCATCTTGTGACAGGCATGTGAAAGAGGAACAACTTTCTTATCAGCCTTCAGGTCACCTAAATCAGTGGTTCCCAACTCTAGTCCTTGCGGAACACCATCCTGCATGTTTTAGTTGTTTCCCTGCTTTGGCATATGAGTTGAATGAATGGGTGATTATCAGGCTTCTGCAGAACTTGAGGAAGTAATTAAATCATTGAATCAGGTGTGTTGGAGCAGGGAAATAACTAAAACATGCAGGATGGTGTTCCTCAAGGTCTAGTGTTGGGAACCACTGCTCTTAAATGAGCCCAAAAGCCGAGAAGGTTTAGAATGAGCAGTGTTGTCCTATCAGAAGAAATAATTAGGATAGCTGTAGGAGATTCTGTTTAGTGCAGATTTGGACTAATGCAACAAGCACTAAGTCACTTAGTTTAATTATATATATTATATCATCTTTTGAATGCAAAAATGTCCAAACTTGACTCTGAAATTTCAATTTTGGTTCATAAACTTGTTGCACACCAATACTCCTGCTTGCACAAGTGCAGCTGGCTCTCTGATGAAGAATTGAAAAGTTAGCATTGTTTAAGTGAAGTTCACAGCAGGACTCCAAAGGAACAAAAGGGACCTTATGAATCTTATGACCACGTATGACCATGTGTCTCTGATGTCTACTGTCCAGAGGCTATGAGACACATTGTGAGAAATAAGACAGCCAGAAAAAGGGCCCCCGTCTCCAAACAATAGACACATTGTCATTTTGGTCAGCTGCTGCTTTTTCATCTTTTTGGGAGAAGAAGCTGGAGGGTATTTTATCATTTAACAATTCTTTGCAGACACAAGAGGCAACGCTTCTTTTCCAGCTCTTCTTTCTCAGTGTCCACTTTAGTTCTACTCTTACTTTTTGTTTGTCAATTTACATTTGTGGATGTCATTGAGACAAGATAAATAAATGAGTCATACACAAAATTATTATGTAAATCTAGTTTTAAAGGAATCAAGGTTAGAATGTGTTCACCTTTTTCAAAGTATACAAAAACATTAAACCTGGTATGATGAAGTTAAAATGCAAAAAAAAAAAACCAAATAAATAAATAAATAAAGCAATGGTACTAAACATAATATAAAACTAATACTTTTTATTAACCTTTATATAAAAACGTAGACCAAGCAAATCCCACTATGATCACAGACCTCTTTTACAAGGGAGGCCTGGGCCTGAAGGACACTTAACATGCTTGTTTATAGACTATAATAATAATTAAAATAATGACAGAATAATAACATTAATAGGTGGCACATGGTTCAGATGGTAGAGCTGCTGCCTCTCAGTGAGAAAATCGCCGGATCGAATTTTGGCCAGGCGCCTTTCTGGGTGGAGTTTGCATGTTCTCTCCGTGCATGTGTGGGTTTTCTCCGTGTACTCCGGTTTCCTCCCACAGATCAAATACATGCATGTTAGGCTGATTGGTAACTCTAAATTGTCCCTAGGTGTGAGTGAGAGAGTGAATGGTTGTTCGTCTCTTCTTTATGTGTCCCAGTTATGGACTGCCAGGGTGTTCCCCACCTCGCACAGTGAATACACATGCAGTGAATTCAATACACAACTGATATCTGCAATTTTACATTAATTTTTATTTTTTTCCATTTTATTTTGAATTAAATGAAACTCAGGGGTTCCAAACCCTGGTCCTTGAGGAACACCACCCTGCATGTTTTAATTGTTCCTCTGCTCCATCACACCTGATTTGAATGTAAGGGTGATTAATAGGCTTCTGCTGAACTTAAGGAAGTAATTAAACCACTGAATTGGGTGTGTTGGAGCAGAGAAACAACTAAAACATGAAGGATGGTGTTCCTCAAGGACCAGGGTTGGGAACCACTGAAAGCTTGTGTCAAGAAGGTACAATTTCTATTGGTATTCAGTAATTTTATTGTTTTGATTTTGTGTTTTGTAGAACCCTCTTGTGTGGAGAGGTTACTTTCCAAGGACTGGAAGGAGCATGTTGACCGTCTTAATGCCAGTGAACTACTGGGAGAGGTTAAAGGTAAGAGTGTGAATTTTTTTTTAAAGTTAAAGCCAACGGTCTTCACACTGCTTCCGTAAAGTCTGTATTCTTTAAGAAAATGTAAAGGTTTTGTCCTGTAATTTATACTTTACAAAGAAAGTGAAATAATAAAAAAAACTGGAAAGAAAACTACTGAATAATGAGCATCCCTTGAACTTTCATTATCCCTGCAAAGTTTCTGGGAAACTTATATTTTGATGTACCTAAACACAAGTAGAAATAGAAAACGGGGAAAAGATGGATGCACAATAAAAAAAGAAGACACTTGTCTAAAAGCTACTTTCAAGGGTAAGAATTGGTCAAACATGCTGTATTTTTCCCTCTGCATATAGAAGCTACATACTGTAGTAGCGGTGCCCTGGCCTGCCTACAGGTTATAATTGTATTTTTGATTAAAGGTTGTGTACGAGGGCAGAGATGCACAGAAGCTCCAATCTTTATGTCTGCATCAGCAAACCACATTTATGACGTTGTAAATTGTACTGAGACAAACGTTTTCTCCAACCAAGCATCCAGATGTAAAAGCAGCAGCAGTGGGAAAAGTTGCACTTTAAAATTGGTGAAATGTTTTACCAGCACTTATCAGGAACTTGCTTGTCTTTTTGTTTATTTCTTTCATGTCCGATTTCACCTGTTTGAATGGTTTTATTTAAATTATAAATATTTGTTTAGTGTTTATAACTTTATATTCAGTGTTAAAAATATTTATTATCATAAGAGATGTATGGAGTATTTTATTACCATGTTAAAAAAAGTATCCTCAGTGTAAGAAAAAAGTAGTTGATTGTTGAAAACTCGATATTTAGAGTGAGAAAGGTTTCCCACCTTGTGTTTGTACTTTTTCATTTAATTTAATTTTTTTTAATCGGTTTATTCGAGCTCCTCCGTCAGACTGTTCTGATCATCTCCTGCTGAGAAAGCAAGAATTTCCTCAATGGAAAGAAAGAACGAGCAACTACACACACACAGAGCATCCTACAGCACAGCAGCGCCGACATCCAGCTTCTTTTCAGGGAGAAATCTGACTTTAATAAAAGTCAACTGACACAAATAGAAACTACATTCCAACCCATAAATAAGTTTTGAAAAAAAGATAATTATTGAACATTTGTTAAAAAAAAAAAAAAAAACTTTTACATAAAAAAAAAAACCCAAACAAGCTACCGTGTTTTTCAGACTATATAAAAAGGCACACTTAAAATCCTTTTAATGTGCTCAAAAATTGACAGTGAGCCTTATAATCACGTGCACCTTAAGTATTAATTCTGCCTGTGGTCATTGTGAAAGTGTTGAATAAAGTTTGACTTATCTGACTTTTTTGTTTCACTTAATGAGCCTTATAATCTGGTGCACCTTATAGTCCGAAAGATACGGTAATGTGAATGTGTATCCTAATATCTGACTCGCTGCTTTCCCATGAGCCTTACAGTAGAACATCCATCCATCCATTTTCTTCCGCTTATCCGGGGTCGGGTCGCAGCCCAAGTAGGGAGGCCCAGACTTCCCTCTCCCCAGTCACTTGAGCCAACTCATTCCCAGGCCACTCGAGAAACATAGTCCCTCCAGTGTGTCCTAGATCTTCCTCTGGGTCTCCTCCCAGTGGGATGTGTCCTGAACACCTCACCAGGGAGGCGTCCAGGAGGCATCCTAACCAGATGCCTGAGCCACCTCAAATGGCTCCTCTTGACGTGAAGAAGCAGCGGATCTACCCTGAATCCCTCCCAGATGACCGAGCTTCTCATCCTATCTTTAAGAGAGAGCCCAGACACCCTGCGAAGAAAACTCATTTCGGCCGCTTGTATCCGAGATCTTGTTCTTTTGGTCACAACCCAAAGCTCATGACCATAGATGAGGGTAGGAAAGTAGATCAACGAGTAAATTGAGAGGTTTGCCTTTTGACTCAGCTCTCTCTTCACCATGACAGACCGGTACAGCGCCCGCTTCACTGCCGATGCAGCACTTATCCGCTTATCGATCTCTCGCTCCATTTTCCCCCCATTCATGAACAAGACCCCGAGATACTTAAACTCCTCCACTTGGGGCAGGACCTCCTCCCCGGCCCGGAGAGGACACTACCCTTTTCCGGCTCAAGATCATGGCCTCGGATTTGGAGGAACTGATCCTCATCCCGGCCGCATCACAGCAGAACAGCTAGATTTCAATTGGCCGTTTCTTTGTGGATGGAATGACTTCACTGTTGCACGTTTTCAAATAAAACATGAAATACAGATTCATGTGCAGTTGTGTTGGGATAGAACAGCTCAACAAATTCATGGTTTGGTTGGCTTCCTTTCTGTGTGTGTGTCATGGTCTTTGGATTGGTATGATGATTTTTGCTTTTTACGACTGCTGTTTTCTATTTTATAAATTGTCTCAAATTACCACAGATAATCCACTGGATTGAAGGAATGAAGCAGTTTGGCATTCAGGCTGGTGGAAATAGTTAGAATTTTAAGTATATTTCCTGTATATTATGGTAATTTATTCTGTATTTCTGCCAGATTATGGTGATTCTGGGGTCATGATGATGGGGCCCTTGAAGATTGTTGCCCAGGGTACAGGGAAGTGTTAATCTGGCCCTGCATTCAGCACATTATTATGACAGTCTTCGGTTCAAGCTGAGTGCAGTTTTTGAAGTAAATGGAGATATTGCCTATTTCAAAATGTGTTTTATTTATTTTTTATATATATATATATATATATATATATATATATATATATATATATATGCCATTAAACTGATAAACACATGAGCAGTTATTTCTTGTTGACTTTTATATAAAAAGTTTTCACAAACACTAAAATACAGAGTTAATGCCTCTTTAAAGCATTCTGTGACTTCAGCAGACAAGGAATATGGCCGCCCATCCTGAGCCTTGATCTGCTTTTACTGTTCTCATGTTCATCTCATTTCATCTTGAAACTTTCACCATAAAACGCAGATGAAAATTTTGAAACAAGTGTAAACCGTATCAAAGAAAACAAGTATTACAATAGTTTGAGAAGTGTCAAGCTGCAGGCACCAATCTCATTACGTTTCTTGCATCTGGTAGAAGCCACGTGCAGGCAGGACACAGAAAACTCAGGATTTAAAGTAGAAAATATATTTAATAGGGAAAAACCATAAGCTGACGTGCAGCAAACACATACTGTCAGGGTTGACATGGAGGAAGACAGAAACACGACGCCATAGACTTATATACAGACCCTAATGAACAGACAATGACAAACACCTGGGAAGGACAACAGGTGGCGGGGGCAGGAGCTGATTATAAGAGGGAGAAACACAGAGCAGGACACAAGACACAAGAATTACATAAACACACACAGATCCTCTCACTCAGGCTCTTTACATGTCATGCACACAAGTGACGTCTTGCATTTTGTTTTATATAATGTACTTCCACATAATACCAACCAGTAACTTGGAAATTTACTCTGTTTGTTGTTTTTTAATTTAAAAAGGATTATATATATATATCAATCTGGTGTTTTTCAACTTCTGCCACCGTTCCATGACATACAACAGAAAAAAGAAATGCAGCTCAATTTTATTTGTAGATGTTTTAATTAACATCTATGGACAGTACACATATTTCTTGGCAAACATTACTGTTTTCACAATTCAACATCGTATCAAACACTTATAAAACATATCATTATTACACACTTGGTATGAAGTCCAGATTGACTTCAGATTAATTTTACCATCTGTTGCAACCATAAACCCAGGTAGTCTAAATTTAGCACAGGCAGGGGGTCTGGATTTGAAGTAGAATTTACTGGAGACAACTTCTTGTCTCTAATTGTTTGCATCAAGTTTATTCCTGTAAGAAGCTTTGGACTTCAGTTTCAACAATTCAACATCATGCTTGTCCTGTATACGGCTGAACAGTGGACACAAAAATGTCATTTCAACCATAAACATAAATACTTCACACCCAAGAACATAAAGACGTCTTTGTTCACTCTTCTTCACTACAGAGTTGTTCTGATTTAAGCTAATTAAACGTTTCGTTTCTCCACGGTCTCTCTGCATGACCTAAATACACAAATACAACTGTGGCTTTGTGTCTCCTCATGCAACAACCTGAACTTGCTTGTAAACTTGCAGTTATTTTAAGGGTAAGAGAAACTGATGACATCCTCTACTTTACAGACAAATGCAAGAAGTATGGTAAAAACACGGCTTTTACCCAGGAAGAAGTGAAAGTGTGCAGTTTGTGATCTGAACTTTGAAGCAAACATGTAAAATAAAGTGACAGATCCACACCTTAGTTTATTTAGACTCTCTCTTTAAATCTCTGTCATGTTATTTGTTGCTTTTCTACTCATTAAAACTATATTCTTATGGGTAATGTTTTTTTATTATTATTTTGACATCATACTTTAGTCATGACGGCTGTTAACTCAGGATGTAAAGGTATGCTCAAGTCACAGTTTGGCACATCTGGCAACTTTATAACTTAATAATGATGATGATGATGAATAACAACACACCTATACTTATAGAATCAGTAATCAGTTTTCTATTTTGTATAGGTGGATTAAAGGTGAAGTAGGATGTAGTAGATGCCTCACTGGATCTGTTTAGTCTCACAGTCTTGCAGACATCTGTCTATACAACTTGGAAAACAATCCAAATGAAGCATTTGCTTAAAACGTAAATATGCACACCTGAACTGCACAACAGAAGAGTGAGAAATTGAACTTTGCATTCGATCGAAGCCTAAATAAATAAAAAAAACTACAGCTGATGGGCGTTGACAAACGTTGCAAATTGTCACAGTGCAGAGTCTACGACAAGCAGGCGGATGGAGAGCTCGCTGGAGCATCCACATTATCACTCTAACAGATTTCTGAGAACAGAGTGCGTCACAGAGAAATTGAAAACGTCATACAGATAAACTAATTGATGAACACGGAGCAGCCCAGGAAGCTGCTGTGATGTCCTGCACTGTCACCTGTTTCAGCAGGAC